GTTACTTTAAAATATTTGCATAATGTACAAGAATCCATTGATTTTTTGATAAATGAGGTATGAAATTTTTTTAAATATTTAAAAACTTTTTTTAAGTATATTTACAACTTTATTTTATTGATAACTAGGCTAATAAACACCCAACAGATCATAAAGCATTTCAAGTATTATATGGAATATCTCAAAATCCTAATACAGGAGGTTATATTTTGGTTCAAAATAGTTGTATAAACTTGACAAATCAGATCAGTGGAAATGAAAAAATTGATAATTTCATTCAAGAAAGACAATTAAAAATTAGTAACTATTATGATGATATAGTGCTTGAATGGATACCATACAATAAGTTTAATGAAATTAAAGAAATAGGAAAAAATGGCTTTATAACAGTATACTCAGCAATTTGGGTATATGGTCCAATATATTATATGTATGGAAATTATACTAGAGATTCAAATAAAAATGTTACTTTAAAATATTTACATAATTCACATAATTCACAAGAATCCATTGATTTTTTAATAAATAAGGTATTAAATTGTTTCTTAAAAAATTTTTTTTTTAATTAGTGTATTTCAATTTCTTTTATTGATAATTAGGCTAAAAAATATCCAACAAAACGTAAAGCATTTCAAGTATTATATGGATTGTCTCAAAATCCTAATACAGGAGATTATATATTGGCTCTTAACTGGACAAGTGGAAATGAAAAAATTGATGATTTCATTCAAGAAAGGCAATTTAAAATAAATAATTATGGCTATAATGATATAGTATTTGAATGGATACCATACAATAAGCTTAATGAAATTAAAGAGCTAGGAAAAAATGGCCTTATAACATTATATTCAGCAATTTGGTTAGATGGTCCAATATATTATCATTATGGTGAATACATAAGAAATTCTAACAGAGAAGTTGATTTAAAATGTTTACATAATTCACAAAAATCTATTGATTCTTTAATATATGAGGTATGAAAATTCTTTAAATATTTAAATACTTTTTTAATTAATATATTTACATCTACTTATTTCATTTAGGCTAAAAGATATTCAACAGATAAAAATGCATTTCAAGTATTGTATGGAATATCTCAAAATCCAGATACTGGAGATTATATTTTTGTTCAAAATAATTCTATAAACTTAGCAAATTCGATCAGTGGAAATGAAAAAATTGATAATTTCATTCAAGAAATGCAATTAAAAATTAAATATGAAGATGTAATATTTGAATGGATACCATATAATCAGTTTAATGAAATTAAAGAGACAGACAAAAATGGTCTTATAACAGTATATTCAGCAATATGGAAGGATGGTCCATTATACAAGGAAAATAAATGGAATGATTATACAAGAAATACAAATAAAGAAGTTGCTTTAAAATGTTTGCATAATTCACAAACATCTATTGATTCTTTATTAAATGAGGTAGAAATTTCTTTAAGTACTTAAAAACTTTTTCTTAATTATTTACAATTCCCTTTATCTAGGCTAAAAAATATCCAACAAAATATAAAGCATTTCAAGTATTGTATGGAATATCTCAAAATCCTAATACAGGAGATTATATTTTAGTTCTTATCTGGACAAGTGGAAATGAAAAAATTGATGATTTTATTCAAGGAAGGCAATTAAAAATTAGTAACTATGATGATGTAGTACCTGAATGGATACCATACAATAAGTTTAATGAAATTAAAGAGACAGGTAAAAATGGCCTTATAACAGTATATTCAGCAATATGGAAGGATGGTCCATTATACAAGAAGTATAGTTATAGTAGTTTTACAAGAGATTCAAATGAAAAAGTTGCTTTAAAATGTTTATATAATTCACAAGAATCCATTAACTCTTTAATAAATGAGGTATGAAATTTCTTTAAATATTTAAATACTTTTTTTAATTAATATATTTACTTCTATTTTATTATATTTAGGCTAAAAGATATTCAACGGATAAAGATGCATTTCAAGTATTGTATGGAATATCTCAAAATCCAGATACTGGAGATTATATTTTAGTTCAAAATAATTTTATAAACTTATCAAATTGGACCAGTGGAAATGAAAAAATTGATAATTTCATTCAAGAAATGCAATTAAAAATTAATAAATATGAAGAAACAGTATTTGAATGGATACCATATAATCAGTTTAATGAAATTAAAGAGACAGGTAAAAATGATTCTTTAACAGTATATTCAGCAATTTGGGAGGATGGCCCATTATTTCACATGAAGTATTTACAAAATCATTATGTAAGAAAACGATGTATAAAAGTTGCTTTAAAATGTTTGCATAATTCACAAGCATCTATTGATTCTTTATTAAATAAGGTATGAAATTTCTTTAAGAACTTAAAAGCTTTTTTTTTAATTATTTACAATTTCCTTTATCTAGACTAAAAAATATCCAATAAAATATAAAGCATTTCAAGTATTATATGGAATATCTCAAAATCCAGATACAGGAAATTATATTTTCGTCCAAAATAATTATATGTGGACAAGTGGAAATAAAAAAATTGATGATTTCATTCAAAAAAGGCAATTAGAAATAAATAACTATAACTATGTTAATATAGTGCTTGAATGGATACCATATAATCAGTTTGATGAAATTAAAGAAACAGGCAAAAATTGTTTTATAACAGTATATTCAGCAATATGGAATAATGGTCCATTACATTATAATGAAAAATATAGTAATTATACAAGAGATCCAAATAAAGAAGTTTCTTTAAAATGTTTACATAGCTTAAAATATTCCATTGATTTTCTAATAAATGAGGTATAATATTTCTTTAATATTTAAATATTTTACTTAATATAGTATTTACTATTCATTTATTTATTTTTCAGGCTAATAAATATTCAACAAAAAATGAGTCATTTCACATATTGTATGGAATATCTCAGAATCCAAATACAAATGAATACATTTTAGTCCAAAATTATTCTATAAACTTAATAAATTGGATGAGTAGAAATGAAAAAATTGATAATTTCATTCAAGATATACAATTAAAAATTAATTATTACTCAGATGTAATATTTGAATGGATACCATACAATCAGTTTAATGAAATTAGAATGACAGGCAAAAATGGTTCTATAACTGTGTATTCAGCATTATGGAATGATGGTCCATTACATTATAATAAAAAGTATAGTAATTATACAAGGGATTCAAATAGGAAAGTTGCTTTAAGATGTTTGCATGGCTCAAAAAATATTGTTGAATTTGTAATAAATGCGGTATATAATTTATATAACCTTTTTAATAATTTTATTATAATCATATTAATTTTACATCTATTTTAGGTTGAAAAATATTTGATAAATACATTTAGTAAAGATAATTTTGTTATATATGGAATATCCCAAAATCCAGATACAAATGATTATATTTTGGTTCTTGCATGGACAAGTGGAAATGAAAAAATTGATGATTTCATTCAAGAAATGCAATTATTGAATCAGTCTGATGTAATATTTGAATGGGTACCATACAATCAGTTTAATAAAGTTAATGAGATATACAAAAATGGTTCTATTTCAATATATTCAGCAATATGGACAGATGGTCCATTACATTATAATAAAAAGTATGATAATTATGCAAGAGATGCAAATAAAGAAGTTGTTTTAAGATGTTTGCATGATTCACAAAATATCATTGAACTTGTAATAAATGAGGTATAAAATTTACATAATCTCTTAATATTTTTTTTATTGTAATTTATTAATTTCTCATCTATTTTTAGGCCAAAAAATATTTAACAGACACATTTGGTAAAGAAATCTTTGATATATATGGAATATCTCAGAATCCAAATACAGATAGTTATATATTGGTTTTAAGAAATTTTATATTAGTAAGTGAGAATAAAGAAATTGATGATTTTATTCAAGAAAAACAATTAAAAATGAATACATATGAAGATACTGTATTTGAATGGATACCTTACAATCGACTCAATGAAATTGGTGAATTAAGTAAAAATGGTTCTAATTCAATACATTCAGCAATATGGAAGGATGGCCCATTACATTATAATAAAAAGTATAGTAATTATACAAGAGATTCAAATAAAAAAGTTGTTTTAGAATATTTGCATAATCCAGAAAATTCTATTGATTTCCTAATAAATGAGGTATAAATTTTCAAATATTTTACTAATCTTTTAATAAAATATATTAATTCTTTATTTGTATACTAGACCAAAAAATATTCAACAAAAATATTTGAAAGAGCGATTTGTGATATATATGGAATATCTCAAAATCCAAATACAAATAATTATATTCTAGTTCTCTCATGGGCAAGTGGAGATAAAAAAGTCGATTGTTTTATTCAAGATATTCAATTAAAAATAAATGATTATGATGATATAGTATTTGAATGGATACAATACAGTCAGTTTAGTAACATTAAGGAAAAAGGTAAAGGTGGCTTTTCTACAGTATATTCGGCAAGATGGAAGGATGGTCCATTAGAATATGATGCAGATAAAAAAATATATATTAGAGATCCAAATAGAGTAATTGCCTTAAAACGTTTACATAATTCACAAAATATTACTAAGAAATTTTTAAATGAGGTATGAAATTTCTTCAAAAAATTTTTTGTAATAGAGAATTTTTTAAATATGTTAAGCATAATGTAGTAATTATTATTTATTATGAATGAATTAATTTTAATAGGTTAAAGAATACTCAATAAATAAAAGTAGTAATATTCTTAATATATATGGAATATCTCAAGATCCAGATACAAAAGAACATATTATAGTTCTTAATTATGCAAAAGATGGAAATTTTAATCATTGGATGAATGAAAATTATAAATATTTTGGTTGGAAAGATAAATTATCTGCATTGCTTAATATTATTAGTGGTCTTAAAGAAATTCATCAAAAAAATTTAGTTCATCGTGATTTTCATACAGGAAATATTTTATTTTTAAGAAGTAGAGATAATTTTGGTAACTATATATCAATTTCAGATATGGGATTATGTGGAGAAGTTGGTAATATAGATGAAACTAAAATTTATGGAGTCATGCCTTATGTAGCTCCTGAAATATTAAGAAGGAAGCCTTATACACAATCAGCAGATATCTATAGTTTTGGTATGATAATGTATTTTGTGGCAACTGGAAGACAACCTTTTGATAATCATGCACATGATTATAATTTAGCATTAGATATTTGTAAAAAAGGAGTTAGACCTGAAATAACTGAACCAGAAGCACCAAGGTGTTATATTGATTTAATGAAAAAGTGTTGGGACTTAAAACCAAATGATAGACCAGATATTTTTGAGGTAAATGAATCAATCACATCATTTCACAAGTCATATGGAGGTGATTTTTCCATAGTAAATGAAGAAATTGAAATAATTGAAATGCAATTCAAAAAAGCTGAAGAATATAGAAAGGCAAATCTTCCAACCATTAAAAATTACAAAATAACTACTCATCCACAAGCTATTTACACATCTCGATTACTTAATCCTTTTACAGAAGATCTTCCAGCAGAGGATGATGATAATTCTCAATGTTTAGAACAAGCAATCTAGTTCCAGATGAAAACCAAACAAAACTTAAAATTATTCACTTGATATTTTTTTAGGGGATATATAACGATAAAAGGCCATAATAATCAGGCTTGACTATTAATATCTTTTTCTTATTTTAAAATTGCCTTAGTACACATAACTGATATTTTTAATCATACAAATTATTGTATATTACTTTCTGACGTGACTGTACAGTATTTATGGTATCTGAAATCTGAATCTAGACCTGCGCCACATAATTACTAGCATAAAGCATCACGATTTTTAAATTGATTTTATATTTTTTTATTTTTCATACTAATCATATTTTTAAATATTAATTTCGTTATTATTTAATTTCGAATTATAATATTATCACTTATTATTTAAATTTTTAAGAAATAAAATAAACTAGTGGAAATGATGTTAACGAAACTAATGGATAATCCAATGATCATTAAATTAACCACATGTCTGACTTAATTTTTTTTTTTAAGAAAAAAAAAAAAGATTAAAAATATTTTTTTTAAAAAAAAAAAAATGCTCGTATTTCATTTTTATACTTTTAAAAAGAGTTTGACTCGAACTAACTTAAGTTACACAAGTGCGAGTCCAAGTTCTAGTCCACATGATATCCTCCAGTTGTCAAATATTTATAATGATATCTATGCGGAATCCATTTGACTATATTGAATCATTTGACATTTCTGTATTAAGTTATCAATATCATCATTTCCAGTTGCTCAATTTGCAAAAATCATATTCAATATTTACAATTTTCAAAAATCATTTTTTTATTATTTGTAAGAAGTTTATTAGCGATAAGTTTGTGTTTGAAATTATGTTATTAAATAATATATTCAATTAACGAATAACTGTTACATAAATTAAATGGTAGTCAACAATTTTATTATAAAAGTTTAAAAGTAAGCAATTTTTTTTTATTACAGTAATAATATATTTTTTTTACAGCCATTATTAACTTGAAACCAATAATTACTTAAATATTAATACAGTTCTTTGACAATGCAGAATTTTTTTTAAAATAATTTCTTATTTATTTATTTTATGGATAGTAAGGAGAACTACAATGAGAATGACATCACTATTCTAACGAATAAAAATATCGGAAAACATTATAGAACTTAGCCCAAACCAACGAACATAAGAACCTTGGAGCGGACCCTTACTAGAAAAAGAAAGAAAAAATAAAAAGAACTATCTAGGACTCCGACCGAGCCTAGGTAGGCAAGAAAATAAAGAATATATCTAGTAGTAGGTTACTATGCATAAAACGGAATATGTCTATACTCTATAGAAGAAAGTGTGAGTGTCTAACGACAAGCTGAAATCTATGTGGTGATAAAAAGTACCGCTAGTATGGAAAAAATTAGAAGAAGAAAAAAGTATAAAAAGAAGATCAGTGGAGTTTTGTAATTTCGAAAATCCATAAATGGGTTGCAATATTCAAAGTTATTAGGCGAGCGTGTCCGCCTTCCCAATCAACTAATCCAATTTCGATTAATGAAATTTTATCTTAATCGGGTAATCGGGAATTTTTTTTTTTTTGATTATTAATTTTTTTGTCCAATTTTTTTTTTTCAAATATTTTTAGCTTTTTTTTATCCGTTTAGGTTTAATTTTTTTCCCCCAAACTGAAAAATTATAATAATCCTATTGTTTCGGTCTTTTAAAACCGATTTTTTTTATATTATTTTTTTTCGATCTTTTTTTTAAGACCATATTGTTATTTTTTAAAGAAATTTTTATTTTTCACTCTTTTTGGACCGAATTATTGTCCTTTTTTTCAGAATTTTTTTCGGTACTTTTTTTTTTTTTTTTTTTCGGATTCCTTTTTTTTTGGAAATTTCCCTTTTCTTAAACTGATTTCTTTCTTTATCCTTTTTCTTTTCCCCAAATTTTTTTCAAATTTTTTTATTATTAAATAAAGAAATAAAATGTTATAATTAAATATATTTACAAAATTATTTTTTTAAAAAAAAAATCAAAATTGACCGACGTTGATACTAAGATGATTAAGAATTTTTCAATTAATAAATTCATAAAAATCATATTTTCCAATATTTATAATTAATTAATTGAAGAAATTTTTAATTTAATAATAGATTATTATAACCAAATCCATATCCGAAATTCTCTAAAATAATCACCAGATTTTTGAATAAAGATTTTAATTCAAATGATTTAGTTAAATTAATAATTTATCAAGTAAAATGAGTATCAAAAGAAGAATAATAAATGAAATGAACAGATTCTAATACATTTAATTGTTCAAATATTTTTCCTAAGTTGGTTATAAGTTTAAGATTGACTTAATATAAAATCATAAGAAATGATTATAAAATTTATAATAATTAATAAAAATATTTGTAATATTTTCATAATATTAAAGTTTTTTCGAAAATAATTAATCAATTTTTATTGATAATTATTTTTTCACAATTCATTGATTAATCCAAATTTCATTCTACACTCAAACATCAAATCATTAATAACTACATTATTGTAAATTGTAAATATAATTTATATCATCCTAATATTATAAATATAATTTAATACATATTATTTTATTATTCTTTGTCAACTAATTAATATCTAATAATATTAAATTCTTAAATATAAACAAAAAACTACTGTAACCATCTTTAATTTACTTAGAATTACATTATAATACTAAACTTTTTTATTTAAACAAACTCATTGATCCCGGTTCAAAGCAACGGCTGACTACTACTAGATTTCAACTAATCACATATTGTAAGACAAATTTTTCGTATTGATATATTTCCTGCAAGAAATTGAAGACAAAAACAAAAATATTTGTGCTTTTCAATAGTTTATAAAAAATTTATATCTAACTTGCTTCTCAATTTTCATAACGCTAGATCTACAGTCTTCTCAAAAATGGAACTATCCAAATTTTCATTTTTCCTTTACAAATTATTGTATGACAACTTGAAGGAACAAATAAGCGTAAGTGGAAAAGTTTCCATAAAATACAAATAAAAGAGACAAAATAGTATAAGAAATCGCCACATGATTCACTAGTAAACTACACGAGTTTACTACGGCACTACGATTTTATAAATTTAATTTTTTTTAACTTTTAATTTTTCATAATTATAAATATTAATAATGTTATCATTTAATTTTGTATCAACTTACTATTTCGATTTTTTTAAATGAAACTCCCGATCTGATTTTTTAAAAAAAATAGAAAAAATTTTTTTTTTTAATGATTTTATCATAAAAGTGAATAAATATTTTTTTTTTNAAAAATGTTTGTATTCATTTTACATTTAAGGGGCTTGACTCAAATTAACTCAAGTTACTCAAGTACTAGTCCAAGTTCTAGTCCAAGTTCATAATGTCTATTTATAAATTATATTTTTTAAATAATTGTATAGAATCCATTTAACTATATATAATGATTTGACATTTTTGTATTAAATTGTTATATCATTTCCAGTTGTTCAATTTGTAAAAATTTATGTCAAGTACTATTATATAACTAAACGTTCTTTACAATTTTCACATGTTTGATTTTAAAATTCATATTATTGGTATGAATAATACATTCAATAAACAAATTACTGTTGCATAAATTAATTCGTTTTTGATGGTAGATAACAGTTTTATTATAAAAGTTTAAAAGGAAGAAATTTATTTTATCAAAAAGGATATCCTGTCAGTCAATAATATAACCATAAATATGAATTAGTATTACGCAAAAGTTTAATGTAAGAATAAATTATTTTTTGGACATTATTTTTAATTATTTATTTTAAAGATTAAAAATGCTTTTTATAGCGATTATTACGTGAAAAAAATTTGTGAAGCTTAACGAGAGTTCTAAAGTTAAATTTGCGATTTTTTTTATCTGATGTAAAATAATCAAAGAGTGAAAAAGTTATGCTTTAAAAAAAATTTAATATTTAGTCATTTTCATTTCATCATTTTGGAATATTATAGTAAGAGATCCTATGAATTGTCAGTCAAAAAGTATTACAATTTCATAAATTTCATACAATTTGATGCTAAAAGAGAATTTTCTATTATAATAATCTACAAATAACACCGAAGAAAGAAAGCTATTTTTCTTAATAAAAGTTTGACTGTTTCTATATTTAACCTAATTTTTGTCATATGTTTTAGAAAAAGCATGGTTTTTTTTTGGCTTTATTGAGACCTCGATCTATTTTTTCAAAATTTCGATAGACTTCCAGGTATTTATTTACAAAAAAACTAGTTTCATTAAAAAACACGTTACTAAACTCTTTTCGCATATAATATACAATATGTCACCATTTGTGACTCTTTGTTTACTTTTATTAAGAATGAAAAAAAATAGAAAAAAAATTAGTATAATAATAAGAAAAAAATTATTAAAAATGAAAATCGGAAGAAAGGCGCTTACCGCAGCACCGCGGCATCGATCCAATCGATTCTAGATTCAAGTAATAAATAATAATATACCTATACATATGTTATATTGAAAACATATATAAGTCAATAAAAAAATATGTATAAAAATAAAATGAAAATATATATGTATAAAAATATTAGTATAGATTATAAATATTAAAAATTCAGTTAAAAAAAAAATAGTAAGAAAAAATTATTAAATTCTCGGTTTTAAAAACTGAAAAAAGAAATATTATATATTAAAAAAAAGTTCAATTAAAAAATAAGTCCCAATAAAATATTGTGAATTTGTGATTATTAAAAAAGAAGGGTCTAAAAAATGACCGAAAAAAGAATTCGGTCCAAAAAAAAGCTACCGAAAAAAGAAAGATTAAAAATGATGAAAAATTTTTTCTTAATATTAGTTAAGACTACTTATTAGCAACGTAAAACCATGACTACTTTAATATTAATACAGTAACTGCAAAAATAGAAACGTGTTTTGACAACGCAAAATTTTCTTTAATAAAAATAAAATTAATTTCAAATTTACATATTATTTTCATTCATTATTTTTAATTTTCACATATTATCAATACATGCATTTTATTTTATCTCATTTAATTTTCGTGTGCATCATTTTTTTTTTTAAAAAAAAATTCCTTTAAAAAAATATTTAATTACTAAATTATTTAAATTATTTAAATTTTCTATATTGCACTTCAATAATTTTATTAATTTTCACGTTAAAAATTGCTTTGATCATTTGTGAAACCAAATTGTGTAATTCAACCAATTGTGAAACCAAAATCATTTTTACTAATATGGTTACAATAAATAAAACTCCCGCTAACCTAATTAAGGAATATCGTATTACAAAAAATTAATACATCCATACATGAAAGGCCAAATTTTATTAAGTGATAAAAATAAAAATCTAACTTTAATCCGTAAAAAAGAACCAATAGAAACGTAGAACATACTGTAAATTATTGAACTTATGTTTAGAGTCATGTACAGATTTATAAACATTATTGTTAATTCTTTCATGATAACGTAAACATATTATACAAGATCCTTTTCTATTATTATTAAAAAAGATGAACGGCCGGGAAAACTTGAATTCTCTTACACTAATAGTTATATTGATAAGAAATTAAAAATAAATTTTTTTTTTAACAATTTTAGTCTATTCGACCAATCAAAATACCCAAATAATACATTTCCATTTTTTTTTTTTGCCATTTTGAAATCGATCTCGATCAGCGATCATGAGACCGTTCGATCAACCATTTTTTTTTTTATCAAATTCACGCTCGGTTTACCATTTTTATAAAAATTAATAAGTTATGTACATAGTAAATAATAAACCAAGTTGATAAAGGATTCAAAAATATTGTTTTAAGTTAAATTATATACATTTTTTTAATTCCTTACATTAAATTTCAATTAATAGTGACCGAATCTAAAAAATGTAAGTTAATTAGATAAATTTCATAAAATCAGTCACATAATATTATAAAATAATAAATTACATATAAATATGATGTATTGACTTAAGTTAAAGACTCTAGATAGTGTGGTTTTAATTAATGTTGTGACTTTGTTATTCAAATATTTCAATGTAATTTCAAAGTTAGAGGATTTTTTAACTCGTAAACACATATTATTACATGATGTAAAATGAGTATTTATTGTCTAAATATTAAAAAAGAATTTACATATAGATATAAAAAATTTAGCCAGAAAAAATTTTCGTTTCGAATAATTTTTTATTGATATGGTCGACATCAAAATATTTACAAGAAGTTCATTACACGATGTTAATTTATCAAAATAACTTTTGGTTATGCAAGCTTCGGAATTTGAAAAAATAAATGGATGCCGAAACTATATTTCGCCTAAATAGGTTTCGTTATCCATATAAACAAAACCATCGAAACGCGAAAAAAACATTTTCAGCACGTAAACTTGGATCAACTAAATCTGGTTTTTTCTAATATAGTAGACTCGGAGATCTTAATCTTTGTAGATCTTCAGTGAATTTTTAGTGATGATCTTTGTAGATCTTTAGTGATGCTAATCTGTTAAGAGAATCTGACCTTACGAAAGATGATGATAGAACGGTACCGGTAGAGAAAAAAAAATATTTATCAAATGATCGTGCTGACACCAAAACTAAGTAGTTAAGTAAAACCAAAACGAAGCGATTTCATTGAAAAAACTTTACCGTTTACTAAGCTATTTCTGACATAATGTCTCGGCCATCTCGTACGCTCATCTCATATTAATTGATAATCATTTTTATTCTGAGATAATACATCGGAAGTTCATCTATTTTTCGTAATAATGATTTAATAAATCTGTTAACCACATGTGAATGATCAAAAGTCAAACACATATGACACATTTACGTAATTAGTATTCCATCTTCATAATAATATAAACCTACGCGATCCATCCTTTTAAAAGTCTCAGTGTTTACTTATCAAAGACTACTAACTTAAAAATTCTCTTCTCGTATTAATCTAATATGGATAAACCTGAGTTATATAATGGTTATGATGGTGGGTCTTGTTTTCAACAATCTTATATTTTTATCTTGAAGTTTAATCAATCTATTTGACTTTCCAGAACTTAGCTCTTACCTTAAAGAGCAGAAGAATTTGTCTTATCGCGGTTTTCTGCTTCTCCACCAAGATGTAATTGTCCATTCATCACCAATATTGGACAATTGGAATCGTATGGATGCTGTATGGGCCAAACGATATTTGAAAGAAGCAAAAGAGTTATATCCAAATGATTTTGCAGATATAAGGGAAAAGGTGTGTTTTTATTTTGCAAAATTGATGGCAACTCCCGGTTACCTATAATGCTGATCGGGAGAATTACTGGGTTTTGATACTGGTACGGTCCTACTCCAGGTGTTCTTAATTTAGGCGCCATAACTTTGCTAATGATAAGGTTCTTTTTGATTTTTTATTTTGCAAAGTGATGGTAACTCCCGGTTACCTATAATGCTGATCGGGAGAATTACTGGGTTTTGATACTGGTACGGTCCTACTCCAGGCGTTCTTAATTTGGGCGTCATAACTTTGTAGTTAATAAGGGTCTGTTGATTCTGGGGGAGGGATCGACTATGCACTTTTCCTTATTACTAAATAAAGTCACACTATTAACATTATTCTTTATTCTTCTTACAACAGGTAAAATTTGAGCGAGATGGCAATGGTTTGAGTGCATACTGGAAGAAAGTGATTAATGAGCGTAAGAAGGTGAGTATTATATATCATGCAATCTCTGATAATAGTTAAATAATTTCCAGATTTACTTACTATTGTAGAATTCTGTAAAACGAATTCAATACTATCTTTTCCATTGCTGTAGTGCATTTTCGTTTCCTTTTAAAAAATTTAAGTAGTAAGTGATAATATTAATTTCAAAATTAAATATTATTAATCTATACGCTAAAGTTTAAATATGAAAATAAAAAATCGAGTAAATTATGTGGCACAGATTTGAATTTCAAATATTGTATTGTACGTCTTGCAAGAGAAATATCAAAACGAAAAATCTGTCTTTTATCCATACTTTTTTTTTTAAATAAAACGAGTATTGCTAAATATAACCACTAATGATTGCAATCTTACCAGAATTAGGGTAAAATTTTAGGCAGAATTAAACATGGCATGATACCCGCCAATATTTGCTAGTGCTGGTGCGGTAGTGATGAGTGATTTTTTAACATTTTCTTGGGAAAATATGAAAATTTGTAATTTGAAATTTACATAAATAATAATTAACTTATTATAAAAGATTTGCAATATCTTATACATTTTAGAAGCCTTTAATGGAAGCTACAAATGATATTTATTAATAGAAATTTAATTTTAAGCTGATTTATTTTTTATTATTACTTATCCTGCTTGAGTTTCAAACCTTTTAGTTGCTTAAGCCAGCCAATTTGATAATAAAATTATACCAAAAAAGCTCAGTTTACATAAAGTACTATTGTAATATTTTAAAATATTGTATTATTTTTGTACAACATTTTTATAAATGTGGTGGAAAGTTTTATTTGAAGAATATTTTATCAAAGTGTCAAAATTACCAGAATTTGTTTACTACATCAGAAAAAATAATATCATATTTAATGTCCAATTACAAACTGATTTTATTCATGTAAAAAAATATTACATATCCATATACAGTGTTGGACAAAGCTATATATAATTGTAAATTCCTATAAAATAGCAGTTATACATATAGTATATTAAATGTTAAACAAAGTTTTATTCTCCTATACTCCATTGTATATCATTTGAAACTAATTGGGAGTGCACAATCATCCAAAGATTGAGAATTAAGATCCTTTGTAATAGGATTAAGTAATCGAGATGTATAAATAGCTTGTGGATGGGTAACTATTTGGTAATTTTCAGTGGATAAAAGATTTGCTCTTCTATATTCTTCTGCTTGCCTAAATTGTATTTCAATTTCTTCATTTTCTACAATATATAATTCCCCAAAATATGACTCATGAAATAATGTGATTAATTTATCAATCTCAGAAATATTTGGTCTATCATTTTTGTCTAAATTCCAACACTTTTTCATTAAATCAATATAATAATTTGGTGCTTCTGACTCACTTATTTCAGGTCTAACTCCTTTTTCACAAATATCTAATGCCAAATCAAAATCATGTGCACGATGACCAAAAGGTTGTCTTCCAGTTGCTACAAAATACATTATCATACCAAAACTATAGATATCTGCTGCTTGTTTATAAGACTTTCCTCTTAATACTTCAGGAGCCACATAAGGCATAACTCCATAAATTTTTGTTTCATCTATATTATCAACTTCTCCACATAATCCCATATCTGAAATTAATACACAATTACTAAAATTATTTATGAAATTTAAAAATAATATATTTCCTGTATGAAAATCACGATGAACTAAATTTCTTTGATGAATTTCTTTAAGACCCTTAATAATATTAAGTAATGCAGATAGTTTATCACCCCAATTAAAATATTTATAGTTTTTATTTATCCAATGATTAAAATTTCCATCTTTTGCATATTGGAGAACCATAATATATTCTTTTGTATCTGGATTTTGAGATATTCCATATATATTAAGAATATTACTACTTTTGTTTATTGAGTATTCTTTAACCTATTAAAATACATTGATATTAAAAAATAATTATTACATTTATGCTTAAATAAAATGATTATTATATTATAGTGATTCTTTTAAAAAAGTTTCATACCTCATTTAAAAATTTATCAGTAATACTTTGGGAATTATACAAACATTTCAAAGCAATTATTCTATTTGGATTCCTTTTGTAGATTTGTTTATCCACATCAAATTCTAATGGACCATTCTTCCATTCTGCTGAATATACTGTAGAAAAACCACCTTTACCTATTTCCTTAATATCATTAAACTGACTGTATAGTATCCATTCAAATACTATCATATCATTATAGTCATTTATTTTTAATTGCCTTTCTAGAATGAAATCATCAACTATTTCATTTCCACTTGACCAGATAAGAACCAAAATATAATCTTCTGTATCTGGATTTTTGGATATTCCATATAATACTTGAAAAGCTTTATACTTTGTTGGATACTTTTTAGCCTAATGTAAATATAAGAATATATATATTAATTTAAGGGTTTTGTTTTTTATTACACCTGCGTTATGTCGCACCCCTATAATATGTCACATATAAAAGTCAAAAATGGCATTCTGATTCCTTTTTGATATATTAAAAAAAACTTGCAGAGCGGTCAAAAATACGCATAGTATAAGGTTTCTTATAGTATATAGTAAGTGCATAAGGTCTCATGCCAGGTTTTTTTAAAAATGGGAAATCTTAACGAAGTCACGTGATAAAAATGATCAACATAATTAATATATAAAAATTACCAAAAAAGGAAGATGCGACATATCGCAGGTGCGAAAAAAACATATCCTTAATTTAAAAAAAGTATTTAAATATTTAAAGAAATGTCATACCTCATTTATTAAAGAATCAATGGATTCTTGTGAATTATGAAAACATTTTAAAGCAACTTCTTTATTTGAATCTCTTGTATAATTACTCTTTTTATTCTTTTTGTATAATGGACCAGCCTTCCATATTGCTGAATATACAGTTATAAGACCATTTTTGCCTGTCTCTTTAATTTCATTAAACTGATTGTATGGTATCCATTCAAGCACTATATCATCATAGATAATATCATTATCAGAGTCATATATATCAACATCATGGTCATTTATTTTTAATTGCCTTTCTTGAATGAACTCGTCAATTTTTTTATTTCCACTTGTCCATATACAATTATTTTGAATAAAAATAAAATCTCCTGAATCTGGATTTTGAGATATTCCATACAATACTTGAAATGCATATGTTTTTGTTGAATATTTTTTAGCCTAAATATAAAATAAAAGAGATTGTAAATATTAATTAAAAAAAATATTTAAATATTTTAAAGAAATTCCATACCTCATTTATTAAAGAATCAATGGATTCTTGTGAA